GGATTGACTTTAGGGTGTAGAGGTTCGATAAGAAGGGATTTTTCCAAACTCGAATTCTAAGGGAGTCAAACCACCCCTCAAATATTAGAATATTTTTTATTCAAAACCGGGTTTTTCGGAAAAACTCTTAAACACGTATATTTTATTTTGTTGTTTTACGTATGTTAAGATTTTTTAAAAATGTATACAGGGTGTTTCAAAAAACCTGGTCATTGATTAATGACGATCCTGCTTACAGCGCTTGACGTAAAAAGCTGATTTTTGGTAAAACGGATTGACTTTAGGGTGTAGAGGTTCGATAAGAAGGGATTTTTCCAAACTCGAATTCTAAGGGGGTCAAACCACCCCTCAAATATTAGAATATTTTTTATTCAAAACCGGGTTTTTCGGAAAAACTCTTAAACACGTATATTTTATTTGGTTGTTTTACATATTTTAAGATTTTCTAAAAATTTATACAGGGTGGTTCATAAAATATCACCATTGTGTAATCACGATTCTGCTTGAACTGCTTGACGTTTAAATCTGATTTTTGGCAAACGGATTGACTGTGGGGTGTAGGGTGTAGAGGTTCGATAAGGAGGGGTTTCTAGAATCTCAAATTCCAAGAGGGTGAAAACGCCACTGAAATATTACAATATTTGTTATTTAGAAAATGGTTAGACTTTCGGGAAAACGCTTGGACACGCATAATTTATTTTGTTTTTTACATATATTGAAATTTAAAAAACAATCGTACAGGGTGTTCCAAAAAGTTGGATAATTGATTAACCACGATTCTGCTTAAACTGCTTGACGTAAAAAGCTTATTTTTGGCAAACGGTTCGATAAGGAAGGGTTTCTCGAATCTCAAATTCCTAGAGGGTGAAAACGCCCCTCAAATATTACAATATTTATTATTTAAAAAACGGTTAGTCTTTCGGGAAAACGCTTGGACACGCATAATTTATTTTGTTTTTTTACATATTTTGAAATTTTTTAAAAAATCATACAGGGTGTTCCAAAAAGTTGGATAATTGATTAACCACGATTCTGCTTAAACTGCTTGACGTAAAAAGCTTATTTTTGGCAAACTGATTTTTCGAAAGTCAAATTCCAACGAGATGAAACTACCCCTCAAATATTACCAAGCTATATAATAATATCGCCATATTGTTTTTTCTCATGCTGACATATGTAAATGTGAGAAAATTTTATCCAGTTTGTATCTTAATGGAAATTCTTGCTTTGCTTTATCATCACCATTACAAATGATTAATTCGACGCGAACGAAGTCGCGGGGACATGCTAGTTAATAATAAAGTTAATAAAATGCTTGTAAAAAAATTAAACAGTCTCTAGTAATACAAGAATGATTTTTGTAAGTAAAAATAAGTCTCAACTATATTTATTGTCACGTCAAATGTGTCCGTATCCAGCGTATCCTGCTCAGCATCAATTTTACCGCTCTATAAAAAGATTTTGGGCAAATTCTTGAGCTCCTTCAAACCCCAATATAAAAACAGCTTTCAAAATAATCCCTTTGGGGAATGAAAAGATGTCCGAAATTTCGGTCCTTGGGGATCTTTTCTCCATTTATTTTATGTCATCTGTCAATTTTCTTTTAAAATATCGTCCAGTTTATTGAGAATTTATCGAAAAATAGATATCCTTTACGGCATATTGTCATTGGTCCTACAAAAAAATAAATTCAAGAGTTATCATCTCTTTAATTTTTTTTTCTTAGTTTATCGTATTAACAATCAATAGTTGAAGTACTAGACACCTGTGATATTTGATAAACTAAAGGTGTTCTTACGGATTCTATTTACGGATATGTCGCACTACAGTTCAAAACGGTTCATCAGTGTTGCCAGGTTAAATATTTTTATTTCCCTAGCATAATCTCAAAAAATTCCCTAGAAGTTCCCTAGATTCTCAGTTCCAAAATTCCCTATAATTTCCCTAGAAAACGTTTTATTTCCCTAGATTTTTCCCGGTTTCCTATTTAAAAGAGTTTTTTATATGTTTTTTTTTTAATGTGCAGGTATTTTATCTGGTATCTACGAGTACGAGTACGTGTTTTCTTCATAAATAAATAAGTATAGTAAACTATTTAGTTCAAATTTTGAATAAAAAAATATTACCTATTATAATTTGTAGATTATATTATATTGAAAACCATTCTGGTAAATATAATAATATTACAAGATATTACTATATAGAACACAAAATAAACAAAACAAAAACATTGAACAAAAAATAATATATTCCGAGTAATATTATAACGAATACACTATATACTCTACCTAGTCAGTAATAGGTGCAAGATATATTTGCTTTAAAAATGTATTTCGATTTAAGAAACACAATTTAATAAAATTTTCTGAAAATTCCCTAGAATACTAAAAAATTCCCTGTAATACTAAAAAATTCCCTGAAATTCTAAAAAATTCCCTTTTTCCCTGCAGAGTTCATTTTTTCCCTAGATCTAGGGAAATTTCCCTGCCAATGGCAACACTGCGGTTCATACTAAATAACGTTTTAGTCACGTGAGTAAGCTTGACCGGCACAGCGCCAGCGTGGTCCACTTTTATACAGGGTGGCGCACCTCATTTGCCTCGGTTGATTTTACGAAAACGGAAAGATGTAGAAACAATATATTTTATGAGTATATGTGGGGAGACAAGGCACAATTTAAAATTATTTTGAAATATACAGGGTGTTTCAGAACTGAGATCAATACCAAAGTTATATTTTTGCCGGAACACCCGGTATTTTATTTTATTTTTGGATTCTTGGGCCCAAAAAAAGACATTTATTATAAGGGTTAAATATGTTTAAAATCTTTAGTTTTTGAGATATTTAAAGATATTTCAATTTGCATGCTACAATAGAATAGATTATTAACACCCTGTCCATTACTTTTAAGAATTAATTCTTATGCTGAGTTTAAAGATAGAGAAATAAACTTTACTGAAAAATGCTATTGCTTCCTTAAATTTATACAGGGCTATGAAAAGTTGCTGATCTATTTTTAGGATATATTTTATATAAAAACTTCGTTATTTCAAATGCCCTGTATTTTTTTAAATAAATGGAAGCAGATTCAAATGCTCTTTCAAACTATATTAGGGTTTCCTATACCTATCTAGCTGAGATTTTGAATAAAAAGCGATTTTTAAATAATGTTAATTTCTAGAATGTTGCATTCAATTGCAATCAAGATGGCTGGTGTCGCCATGGCAATTTTCTAGCGACAGTTAGTAACTATTCTCAAAGTCGACATTAGTTTATGGACAAAGTCGACATTAGTTTATGGTTTATTATATATAATTTATAACAGTTTACTTAAAGGTACCTACAATAGTTTAATAAGTAAGTATTCATATTTTATCAAAAAAAATAAAGCACTATCTGCTGGCGGAACGAATAGATATGTTACTAGTGATTTTATTTTGTGAGAAAAATTGCCTCTTGGTCTCAAGGGCTTATACTCAAAGATATCCAAATAGGAATCTTCGTGATAAGTGTTCCTTTGAAAAACTACTTGTCCTATTTCGCAGAGCTGGTAGTGTGGTTTATAAAAGACGTATTAGGCAGAAACCTGTCCTTGGAGGTAAAGGAAATGAATTTGCCGTAATTGGCTCTTTTATAGAAATCCATATATTGTAGATATATTTCCATATATCTACGAGTCATGGTAAAATAAATCAAAGAACTACTTCTTCGTTTTTCTTGATACAACAATATACATATTTATAAAAAGACATTTTACAACAATATACATATTTAATAAATATCATTTATTAAACTATTGTAGGTAAGTTAAATAAAAGTAAACTGGTATAAATTTAAATAAGTCCAAAAACTAATTTCGATTTTGAAAATAGCTACTAATTGTCACTAGAAACTTGCCGTGACGACACTAGCCCTCTTGGTTGCCATTTTATTGAAAAAATGCTCTTTATTCAAAATCTGAACTAGATAGGTATAGAAAACCCTAATATAGTTTGAAAGAGCATTTGAATCTGCTTCGATTTATTTAAAAAAATACAATGTATACTTGAAATAACGAAGTTTTTATGTAAAATATATTCTTAAAATAGATCAGCAATTTTTGATACCCCTGTATAAATTTAAGGAAGCAATAACATCTTTCTGTAAAGTTTATTTCTCTACCTTTAAACTCAGCACAAGAATTAATTCTGAAAAGTAATGTACAGGGTGTTAATAATCTATTCTATTGTAGCATGCAAATTTAAATATCTCAAAAACCAAAGATTTTAAACATATTTAACTCTTATAATAAATGCCTTTTTTGATCGCAAGAATCCAAAAATGAAATGAAATACCAGGTGTTCCATAAGAAAAAATGGTATATATGTATAAAAAAACTTTGGTATGGATCTTAGTTCTGAAACACCCTGTATATATCAAAATAATTTTAAATCGTGCACATTGCCTCCCCACATATAACCATAAAATATTTTGTTTCTACATCTTTTCGTTTTCGTATAGTCAACCGAGGCAAATGAAGTGAATAAATTCCAGTTAGTCAGCACGGCACCGAATATGTCCATGGTTGGCAACAATGAATTTAAAAATCGCGCCTTCGATTACGTAACTAAAAGTTTAATTGATATGAAATATAAGTAACTTTTACCCTCCAAATTTCATTCCAATTGCTAAAAGCAGCTGAAAGAAAAGTATAATAAATCGACAAAAAATGGACTTTAACCCCCTCTAGCTATGAAACAAAAAGCAGGATCGGACCTATGTTGATATAAAAAATAAATCTTGTTTTTGCGTGAGGAATTTTCCCAGGAGAGATAGCACTTTTTTAAAAATACCCTGTTTTAGTTTTGTAATAAAAAAGGTGTTTTGAAAAATGGAAAAAACCTTTTGTTTCAAAAACTGAAAGAAAATTATTATTTGGTGGAGTCGAGGTGCCCAAAAAATATTTAAACACGGACTTCCTCGCTACGTCACCGCTAAAAAACGTTAATTTTCTTTTCCAGAAACACCCCTCACGATCGCCACCGGCATCAAGAAGCCCGCCAAGGTTCTCATGGCGCTGGTGAACGGCGGCGCCCTCCTGGACTACCGCACCAAAGACGGTTCCACGGCCCTGCACAAGGCGGTGGAACACAAGAGCCTCGACGCCCTCAAAACGCTACTGGAGCTGGGGGCTTCCCCCAACTACAAGGACAACCGGGGGCTGACGGCGCTCTACTTTACCGTAACACCCAACGTGGATCCGGTGTTTACGGAGACGCTGCTGCACGATTACGCGACGACGGGTGCCGCGGACACGCAGGGCTGGCACGAAGTTCATCAGGTAAGAATTGGGGTTCGGAACTTCGGGAATTCCCCTTTTTTTAGGCATCAATGAACCGGGTCTCGCCCGTCGAGAGAGAGAGAGAGAGAAGAGTAAAGCACATAAGCACAATAAAGCTTCATTCAGAACCTCCCAATTAGTGGAATAAATTAGTGGTTTCAATTACACTTTATACTTTTTAGTTTACAATCATTCACAATGTCTAAAAAACACAATTAATTAAAATTAATAAAATATCCTAGCAACGGCTTGCGGTAATCATTTGTATATATCCATGTAGTGGAGTGCTTTAAGACGTTAAGGGATACAAACCTCGGAATTCATTTACTGTGAACGAATTTTTATAAAAACTTTTTGCATTGTATTGTTAATAAGATATATTACAAAGTTTACCCATTTAAATTCGTTGCTTTCACTTTAGTATTTAAATAAACACACATATACAAATGCATACATACAAGATGGCTGGTTTGATTTGGTTGTATTCCGGAAAAGCTATGTATCAGGATTCCTATTTGAGATTTTCACTCCAAACCTTTTACAAAATATATGTTTAATGGTAGTTCACATTTCAAAAATATTTTTACAGATATACAGGGTGAGTGAAATATGTATCATTTATTTTTTCGAGTTCAGTGAATTTGATATAAAATTCCGGTTCCAAAAATACCTTAATACCATAGAGTATATTAAACAGTCTTTGAATTATGACCACGTCCATGAGGACGTCAATATAGACGTCCAGGAACATTCGTATGAGAACTTCTAATCGACACGATCGACTTATTGTAAGTTTATCGCTAAGAAACCGCCGTTTACCAGCTTTTCAAATTGACAATGAGTTGCACTTAAGAACCGTACATATTAACTAACGGACTACAAGAAGAAGATTAAATGAAGCAAATCTTATGCCAAGAAGGCTTGCTTTGGGACCAGAACTTACTAGATGTGTTGACTAGGCCCAAAAGCAAAGGCATGGTCTTAATGTAAAAATTACGAAAAAATGTTAGTGCCATTTTAAAACCGAATATTTCCAACAAAAATAAAGCTAATGAGATGAAGCAAAAAACAAACCATCGAGAGAGGATATATCTAGATGATAAAATAATTTTTAAATTTCTTGCTGTTTTAACATATTTCACAGGGTGTTTCAAACTTTCACCAAAATATCAACATTTTGTTTTCCCTCGTATAATTAACAGATGAGGAGTTTTTTTTAATTTAGAAAAAGATACTAAAAAGTTCAATAATTTGGCAACACACTACTTAAAAAATCATCAAAATCGGCCCATTAAAATAACATATATATTAACCTTTAAAATACATCAAAGTTTTAGGATACCCATTTTTCGTGCCGGTGAATGTATTTCAAAAACTATACATTTTAGTCATATACTTTTCTAATGAAACAAACCTTTATTTTTTTAGTAGAATCCAAAAATCAATTAATATATAGGGTGTTCCATTACAAAAAATATAACTTTGATGTATAACTTTTTTTGGGGACACCCTGTAGAACTCTACATAATTTTAGAAAATGCTTTATATTGACTTACATAAGCTCACAAAATTTCACTTCAATATAAACCTTTCTTCTCCTTGCAAAACCCGCGTCGTATATGACGCGCTACCTTGGTTGGTTTGGTAAATTTTTACTTGGTACAATTTTACTCCGAATAAAACATGTTTTTTTTTCAAACGCCGCAAATAATTTTCTTAACAATTTCAAACGTTCCAAACAATACACAAAAATAATATATAAAGACTTAAAAGTCATACCTTGTATGTAATTATATATCGAGAAACTATAGTTACGCTCGTTGAATTTGACACTTTATGTCAGTTTAATAATAGCTTTTTTCGTTTTCCTGTTATTACCGATTCCTAACCGTCCTAGAACTCTGCAGCGCATGCACAAATGAAATAATGTCTTCATATTTCCTTCTGCGCATACGCACTACAGTTCTAGGACGGTTCAGAATCGGTAATAACAGGAAAACGAAAAAGGCTAATATATTTTCGTACTTTTATGCTTAGGCGTAAAAGTGCTCTACTTTTATGCCTAGGCTATAAAATGACTTTTTTATATTGTCCATCACGTTGCAAAAATTAATACTTTTGTGATGTTTGAAAAAAACATATTTTGCAAGTGAACTAACACACATTGGTACATGGTCTATACCTGAGAGTAACAAAGAATACAAAAGTTATAATCTCGGTTATAATAGAAACTTTAAAGAAAATATTATATTTCTTTTATCGAGATCTACCAGCCCTGAAAATATTCGCACTTATTTAAGACTCACCCTGTATACTCTGCCAGACAGAAATTTTTTATATTGTGAAGAAATTAAGTAATAATTATTATTGTTGTTTGATGGCGTCTACCCTGCTGCAACGTGACAAACGAAAGAATAAAATTATTCACCATTTTCCCTATTTACGATATTTTGAATAATATTCTTATTGTTGCAATTTTATTATCCCAAAATTCTATGAATTATATCCTTACCTGAATTTAAATTCAATTCTACTTGTCTTCAGTTGTGGCAAGACCTTCTTCATGTTAAAGTGTCCATTTACACTGCATAGATAATATTTATATTTGCATATTGTGCTTATTTCTACTATTCCTCTAAAACATTTTCTGAATTCTGTTGTATTAATATTTTGAGATTCAGCAGTAAGATCACAGTGATTTGTTTCTTATTTGTAATTTAGTAAGTTTTATTTTATTATAATTCTGTACAGGGTGAGTTTCGACAACAGAAACACGATTATGAGATTTTTTCGCGGAAAGAAACTTGGAAATGGGGTTTGGTAATATCAGAGATTAAGAAATTTTACCGTGGAAAAATTTCCGGTTATCAGGCAGTTCTAAAACATTTTTTAAAATTTAATAATAAATAATGAAAATTTAAAAGAAAATGCACGATTTTCAACACCTTTTTGCACTAAAACACATAGACGTGTTTCTGGTGTCGAAACATAATACCCCTAAAAATATTTGCACTTATTTAAGAGTCGCCCTGTAGTGCAATCCTTTTTTAAAATCTTTATAATGTCAAAAGTGGTGTGCTCTCATTGTTTGCATATTTTATAAAAAAATTGGAGTAAAAACTCATCTTTCAGAGTGAGATTTACCCCCAAGTGTGTTAGTGTGTAAATATAACAAAATATATCAATATATAAATTCTATGTACGAAATATATTCGAACTATAAATTCTATGAAAGAAAAAAATTTCGTCATTATCATTCCAATTTTCCAACTTCAAAGCAAACTAACATCTGTTTTCCATTTATAGGCGTGCAAAAACGGTCTGCTAAAACATCTAGAGCACCTGCTGTTCTACGGAGCAGACATGAACTCGCGTAACGCATCCGGAAACACCCCCCTCCACGTCTGCGCAGTCAACAGCCAGGAATCCTGCGCGAGGCAGCTACTGTTTAGGGGCGCAGATCGGGAAGCGCTGAATTTTGCCAACCAGACGCCTTATCAAGTGGCGGTGATAGCTGGCAACATGGAACTGGCGGACTTGATACAGAATTACCGTCAGGAAGATGTCGGTAAGAAAAATTATTTTCGATTTTTTTTAAATGCCTATTTGTGTGATTTTCTGGAATGCACTTTTTTGGATAGTTTTTAAGTAAATAAGATAATAAGGAATAAATATGGTGGTTTTTTTAAAACATATTTTTTTTCTAAACCCATATTTTTCGTCGATATAGATAATACCTTTTTATTAGACTCTGGAAAGACGATCATATGCAATAAAGTACCGAGTATTTACTATTCATATAATAGATTAATCATAAAAAGTGTAGCATAATTTAAGTTTCTTATTCTGTGCTATTAGCACAGAACAGGTACAATTCGCACCTGTTCTGTGCTTTGACCGTGTCAACCAGGCTTTAAGATATACCGGGTGCGTCTCAAAAGTAGCTCAGTCCTATAAATTTGTTATTTTTTCAAATAAAGAAATGAGATGTTTAGTTTTTAAAAATGAGATTTGCTATGTTAGTATATATGACATAAATTAGGATTTATTGACGTATTCAATTCTTTTCGATCATTTCCTGTTTCACCGGAATTCATTCTAATATACGGTTCTTAATATTCTCTGAATATGCGATTCATAATGACAGTATTACTCGAAACACCAAGTATGTGGTACCAAAATATTCGTAAAAAATGCTTTTTTCCAATATGCTAATAAGCCACCCTCGTTCCATTTGGAAAAATTGAGATATGATTAAAAATACGAGTTGGGCTTCTTTTAATCGGTCAGGACAAGACACTAAAAACATTAGACGATCATATCTATTTTTCCAAAGCTCCTTGATGAAAAATTAGTGTTTTTAACATTGCCATATGGCACTCTAGATTGAATTTAAAATACGATTTTTTAGGGGAAAATGTCAAAAGTTGACATATGATATGTCATTCTATTCATTTTTGTCATTTTCTATCGAATAAAGAAAAAATATACCGAGAGTGCCATTTAAAAATCAAAAGTTGTAGTCGTCTCCTGTAAAACAGACAGTGACCAAAATCAATTGAATACGACAATCAATCCTAATTTATGTCATATACTAACCTACCAAATTTTGTTTTTTTTTATCTGAAAAAATAAAAAAGTTATAGGGGTGGGTCACTTTTGAAACGCACCCGATATATTACTTGTCTGAGCTTGAATCAACAATTTTTTGCCCTGCTCTATATTTACTAATTCTCTGAGCCTGTGTTCTAGGAATAAAAAATTGAATCACATTGTCTTATACTCGTTGACAGTTCGAGGTTTTTTCGATATCGGTATTAAAAATATCTAAACTAATCAATCTATCATCATAATGGTTTAAGGTTGTCTAAACCGTAATTCGCTATTATTTGAATGTACCGCTTTTTTTCTCTCTTCCACGAACTATTACCAAACTTCCCTATATTTCGATATATTTGTAGCTGGAAGCTATAAAAAAACTGCAAATTTTTCAACATCAGATAAATGTGTTTAATCGATTATATTCTAATTACTAATCCTTTTAATAAATCACCTTGACAGGTGGTGCTTAATTTTCATATAAATGATTTCTAATCTATCTGTCATATTTGCGAAGGTTTTTTCGGCTCCCTCTTGTGAAATTTTACAATAAATATTTGATAAAAAAACAAATATTTTCATTAATTATATTAATCTTATTTTATAATAAGATTAATGCATGTTTGTTTAAATAAATTTGTTTTTCATTTCTTGACAATGGGGGTAAAAACTGTTTCTGAGCTAAAAATACAATATAAAGAATATGAACAGTTTTTAAGAAATATACAGGGTGATCCAGTGTATCATGTTTCTGATCGGATTTTAACTTTTATAAAATAATAGGACAAATAACGTTCATTTTAGTAATATTTTTGTCAATATACTAAGTGTAAATATTTTTATGGAGCCTTGAAAAAATAGATTTCATCGTTTAATGTTTTTCGTATCTTGCCCTGGCCGGTTAAAAGATGCCTAAATCATATTTTTAATCATATCTCACTTTTTTAAATAGAACGAGGGTGGTTCATTAGTATATTTGGAAAAAACATTTTTTTTACAAATAATTTGATACCACACACTTCATATTTTGAAAATGTCAAAAGTTGACATATGATATGTCATTATATTCAGAGTTTTATTTTCTATCGGATATAGTAAAAAATATCGAGTGTGTCATTTAAAAATCAAAAGTTGTAGTGATTTTCGGAGAAACGGGAAGTGACCGAAAACAATTGGATACGTCAATCTATCCTAATTTATGTCATATATTACCATACCAAATCTTGATTTTTTATCTAAGGGTGAGCCATTTTTGAGACGCGCTCGGTATAATAGTTACAAATGTAAATATATTGACAAAGGTATTTTTGTAATATTCGCAGCTATTGCCCGAATATTTTCTAAAAAAGATATTTAAGCATGAATTGAAATAATATTTTAAGACTTTTTTAAAAATTAATGACGTAGCTTAAGTTTGTAATTATTAAAATAAAATTACAGAAAATAGGTCATATATAATGATAAAATGATAAAATAATCATTACAAATAAACAAAATAATTTTATAACATTTCTACAAACTATATTTATTCCTAATTATCTTAACTGTTTTGTACATCATAATGCTTTTGCATGTTTGTTATTGTTTTAGAAAAATGCAACCTCTTTGCAGCGTTTTTTTTTATATTTTCTTATTGATTGGTTATATTTCAAATCATGAACATATAACTTAAATGAATACACTTAATTATTTTTATTTTGGAAAATAAAATCTATGATAATAATAATTTTCTAAGAAATTTACGGGCTTATCAAACAAAAACAATAAAAAGCGCTCTAATTTGCCAAAAACAAAGCCAAAAAGGATATGTGATTCTCTTCCAGTCCTAAAGGAAATCTCTTCATACGTTCTATACAGAGTGTTTCCAACTTATTTATAAACTTCCATAATATATTTCGGTTAATTACAGCTGGGGGCTGGAACTTTTGGTGTTATATAAGGAAAATAAAACACTAATTTCCCATATAATTTATCTTTATTAACGTCCTTATCTTCACAATATATTTTATGTTTTACCTTCCTTACTGTTTCCAATATCAATACAAGACATTAAGCAGTCTAGCAACACGACTAACAACAGTAATGAGCAAAAAATAATATATAGTTCATACCAATTAAACTTTTAGTCACGTGATTAAATTTGACCGGCACAGCGTTGCCCACTTTTACATATTTTCGTTTGATCAAAGTATTTCAGTAAAAAAAAAATAATTATAAATATATAAACAGTTATTAATTTACATCAAGAAAACTCACCTTCTTAACAGCACTTAAGGGACATAATGAGTCACTACTACCACTTTCCCATTTAAAATATTCTAATAAAGTTGTGATGAATTTCTTGCATTGGCTATTAAGCTATATTATACCACTTCGCACTAAGAGAGGTTCTAAAAAGAACGTTCGACTGCAAGTTATGCTAGTAAAACAATTTAAGCTTAAAGTATCACAACACAATTCATTTAAACCAAAAACTCGTAATACAAAACTAAAATGTCAAAACGAATGACATAAAATAAATAAATAAATGTGGCAGCTTGATATTTTTTACAGCAGAGCTACCACCCGAATCCCCAGCGGGAAATTTAAATTACAGTTGGTCAGCCCGGCGCCGAATATATCCATGGTTGGCAACAATGAATTTAAAAATCGCGCCCTCGATTACGTAACTAAAAGTTGAATTGGTATCGCTTATATAAATCTCGAGCGTTACTACAGTAAAGAAATTAACACATATATTGTGAAAATAAAGATATTATTAAAGAAAAAACTATAACTAAGAGAAGCTTGAAACTTTTTTGTTCTTTAACCACCCAACTTACATTTTTTGGTTAAAAAAGTAAGTTGGTTTTACTTTGTATATTAACATATCGCCAAATTCTGTTTTATTACAGACAATTTATAACCCTGATCGATCTCTGTACATTTGCAAAATGAATCCGTTTGTTATTTTTCCTACTTTTGGAACCGTTCCAAAACATGGAAATGGTTTTGCAAGGGAATGGGCTTCTGTATTGAGCAAAATCGTCGTTGTCATTAACCTTTTGGCAACACCATTACATCGAACGAGACATTTTTAGAATTTAAGAGTTCGAAAATTGAGAACTTGTCTCGTTAAAGAAAATTTATGATCGGAACTATTTTTGATTCAAGGAAAATATGTGTATTTTTTATCTTCTAATTTTTTTGTATCCCAAAAAGGGACTTTAAAAAAACATGTTAATGCTTTTTTAAATAACACTGGAAACAATACTTAATAGTACTTTTTTATTTAATAAAAATGGATTTTTTTGGGGAAAATGGAATAAAGTATTAACTTTTACTCACCAACATAAGTATCTATTTATATGCATTTTTAGAGTAGTTATTGCTATCATATTATGAATCATCTTTACAAATACCTACTTAACATTAGAAAAAATACCATATCTAAATAATAAGATTGTATGAAAATGTCACTTCAGATTTCAGATTTCCTAGATAATAAAAGATTCATCATTGTTGTTGTTTTTAAAAAAATAAATACAATAAATAATTAAGTATAAAAACTAAAACAATTAAATGGAGATACATCAAAAAGAGCAAAATATTGATGTATTTTTTCAATAATAATCCTTTACCTTAAATAGCCTAAGCTTAAGTTTTTTATATTTAATTTATTTGATAAGGAAAGCCACTAAGAGGTTGAATTTATTTATTTATTGCATGGAATGATATCTCGTTTGTATGTTCAGATATTTATATAAACTATTATATTTAAATAAATATTAAGTGTATCTCATTTGTCATCATTCCTTTATTTTTTATATAACAAATAAGAAAGAATGCTATGATATTGTTATGTTCTCATCCATAGAGTTAAAAATTAAAATTCTCATCACATTTTTAGCGAATGGACCCTGAAGTAAAATTACTTAATTTTGCAAAAACTATGCGTTGGACGAAAAAAAATCAAGAGTAGAAAATTATTGAGAAACGAATGAAAATTTTGGAAATAATTTTTATTCTAATACAAACCAGTGGCGTACCATTTTTTGCTTCAAAAATATTCAATGCAAATCCAGTTTGGACGACACTGGTTGAAATAAATAAAATTATTGTTTGTAGATTAACATTAGTATTTTTATGCATAAAAGACGTGTATTAAGATTCATATAGATATCTATAATAACATCACAATCATTATGAAAAAAAGTTTTAAAAAAGTTTTACCACCCTGTATCTCAAAAGTTAAGACGTTTAGGACACGCATTCATATGAAGTTTTTTTTCTTAGAATAGGTTCAGCAATCACCCTCTTAAACATTAGGATGTCATTAAGGAACACCCTGTATGTATAAATATGATAAAAAAATGTTCAATTAAAAATGGTAAAAATGCGTATAGTACGAGAGCTAGCAACGTCTTGAAAACAAGTATTTTTTATATATTTTACTATGCTCTCTGGAACAGCCCCTGGCAGGCCGCCTGGCTGCCGATAGACCTTGCGTTGACTACTGCGCATTGAAAGAAATTCCTATATTTTTGTTTAGTCCTTTAAATACTAGTATTGAATATAAATCGTACAAGTCTCCATAGCGCTGTTAGTTCAATACCGGCTCACAGTGGGGTATTTGACACAGATAGCTGATCGAAATTTTTTTATGTAGACCTTATATAAATTATTGCTATTTTCAATTAAAGAGGAAATATTATGAACAAAATAAAGGATAATTCGTCGATTCTGAAAAAAAGAAAGAAAAAAAACTGTTCCAGTGTTTCCACGGTCAATGCCACTAATGCCAGTAGTAATATCGCAACTAATACTACTAATGCTACGACTGATCCGCGAGCAATGCCCATACCACTAAAGTCGCTACTAATGCCAAATTGTGCTATACTGCTCACTTTGTACACAACAATGCCATCGCGGTTTACACCTCGCATTAGTATATCACTAATTGGCAAATTAGTGATATACTAATGCGGAGGAAACCAAGAAAGTTTTTCTCATTTTATCAGCAAAGTCGCAAAAAGTCGCAGTATTTTATTTTACTGTATGAAAGCCCAATGTTTACTAAGTAAAACGTATATAGACAATATGCTGAATTCTTCGAAATGCGCAACTTAATCTCTAAGTATAATAAAAATGTCACAAATTTAATCAAATTTTCTGAACGCCTAACTTTTAGTTGCAAAAAAAATCGTTAGTATAGAGAATATCAAAATAAATAATACGTTTTTGTAGAGTACATACCTGCAGCTTGCTGAGCCATTTTCAATCAAAACTATAATATAAACATAAAAAGAGCACAAGAACAACAACAATTTGTAATTTTAAATATAACATTTAGCCATTTACCTCTTATCTGTGAGAAGTAACAACTTTGACGTTTCGTTGAAACAAATGAATGCAACTAAACACACCTATAGCAACGCCATTCATGGCAGACATGATTTAACTTATCATTTATCTTTTTTTGGGAAACTCTCAAACACATTTGCTTTTTCGAATTTCGATCACCTTTTTCATGCTAATACCCCACCGTGCGGCTGGGGGTAAACTTTTTTATTTTGTGTTCGTTTATATTCTAATAGTAAAGTATTAAATAATTTTGGTGATTAAAAAAACAATTATTTAATACTTTACTATCAGAATATAAATGAAAATAAAATAAAAAAAAGTTTACCCAAGTCGGTATGGAACTCTGAACTTCTCGCTTTATAGGCTGAACGTTTTTTCGCCGCGCTGTGCGCTATGGAGACTTGTTCGATTTATATTCAAATACTAGAATTTAACGGACTAAATAAAAATGGATAGGATCTTCTTTCAATGCGCAGTAGTGCATCGCAGTAGCGCAACGTCTATTAGCAGCCAGACGACTCGCACGCTGTTCCAGAGAGCATAGCAAAAGATATATTTACAGAGCCAGCTTTCTTAAAATACTTTCTCGAAAACGTTGCTAGCTCTTAGACTAGTAGTGATGGTTGGACGAGCTGAATACGAGTAGTAGACAGACCTTATAACTCTTAAAAAACAATAAATAATATCATAGCAACTCTTTCTCAGTACCACGCTTACACTCCCCCCCCCTTCGTTTCTTTCTTAAACCATCTGAGCATGACAAGCCTGGCTGCACCCCATCTGTTTTCAGTACCCTTCCGCGGCCCCCCCAGCTACAACCCCAAACGGCGCAGCGCCATCGGCTGGCTGAGCCGGACGCCCTCCCTCGGCGCCCTGGCCACCCAGGCCTTCCCGCCCCCCGTCTCCCCCTGTCCCAGCGATCGCTCCTCGCTCCCCTTCAGCTCGGCCAGCTCCAGCCTCAGCGAGGGAAGCAGCGGCGGCAACTGCACGATGGCCCACCATCACGAGACAGACACGGCCAGCATCGTTACCGGTGAGTACTATTGCTCCGATCTATTTGTATTTGACAGCTGTGTCTCCTTATTGTTCATTATTTGAGGTAATTGGTACGTTTTGATTTTTAAATGGTGTCGAGAAAATTCGAAATGATTAATAATGCAATTTATTAATTAGTTCTATAGAAAAGTTTTGTGAGACGTGGAGAATGCGAATGGAAATATGGTCTCGACGATTCACCAGAAAGTATGAAAAACTTCCATCTAGATACTACTTCCATCTATCCAACTAGATAGAAAAGAAATACTGCCGTCATAGGAAGTCAAATATCTGGGAATAACCCTCGGCAGTAAACTTCTATGGAACAGGCATATTAAGCACATTATCAGCAAATGCTCTCATGATATACAGAAGATTGGCGATAAATAGATGAGGCTGTGCCCCTAACATTTTGCGCTGGATGTATACCAGGATAGTAACCGACCCGTGATTACTTATGGAGCAGCTGCTTGGCCATGAGAACGCGCCGAACAGTAGCAGTGGAGTGAGTGGAGGTCCTTCTAGACCTAACACCATTGCACATTGTCATCGGTCATTGACAGAAAGTAGAGGGAGAATTGTTAGCTCAGAAGCTTGGAACACCTTCAAAAGGAAAACTCCACTCCTTCAATTCCTAGTGTATGACATACCAAGCATGTACAACTTTGAGAAAACACCTCACTGTAGTATTGAACAATAGCTTGACATGAATTTGTTTCGATTCTCAAATGTAGCAGACCTCCTTCTAACGACGACACTGCAAAGGATGCGGAGAGGAAGAAGAAACCATAGAACATCTGTTGTATCAGTGTCCGGCACTGGAATACCGATGCTTTAAAACTTTAGGGCAATGTTTTTTGGAGGGACTAGAGGAAGCAGCAGAAGCCAACATCAGCGACATCGGGAACTTTGAAAAGAGCTGCTGGAAGTGCATTAACGCAAACGAAGAATGAGAGGAAGGTTTGGTATAATAATACAGAGGATCGCAATGGGCCCAAGACCTCCAAGTGAGGGATCAAACAGGATCCCAAACCCCAACAACCTAACCTAGTATAGAACAATAAAAAGGATTGTAAGAGAGAAATATTTACTCAGACCATAACGTAACGTGGTATACTGATGCTTCCTTAACCAAAGCAGGAACAAGGATAGGAGTATTTGGGCCGAAAACGAAATACTCCAAACCAATAGGCACTTACCCCAACTTCCTTTAGGTAAAAATGTACGCTATCGAAAGATCCGAACAACTTATCTTAGACAGGAACTATCGGAAATAAGAAATAGTCATTTTATTCGATAGCCAAGCAGTATTAAAAGCGATCAACTCAGTAACCATCAATTCGAAGTTGGTCAAAGAATACCTAGAGAAGCTGAACAAGTTAGGCCATAGAGCTAAATATGATAATAGTTATGAAACCAAATAATTATCGGTATTTAAAGTTGATGGAATTGACAGACGGAGCAAGTGCAAATTCTGTCAATTTTGTCAAGAAGAAAGATAGTCTGGCAAATGTTCTGTTCTTTTACTAGACGATCATAAGCACTTTCCAAAGAGTTATAATAGATATAGATATTTCAGTGTCCAAGTTATCACATTTTATGGAAATATGGAATATGAATACAACTGGGAGAATGGGATCTACTATAGAGATACGAAGAGAGTTACAATAGATATAAATATGGGCAGTGGAACAGGCCAACAGCTAATTCATAAAATCTAGCACCAAATAAACACTAATGTTGCTAAAATAGACTGATTAAAACTTGTTCGCGAGAATGAAATTTCCTTTTTTGTATTAAATGTATCTATAAATAATTATTATCGAAAATTTAGCTATCTATTTCTTGTCATTTAAATTTAAAACGTACCAATAACCTTACCACATCCGACATAATACCAATGACATGAAAAAATTAGATTGATATATTTAATTAACCATCCTAATCTCTAGCAGCCATATATTATTTTCCAATTAACTTTAGAGACAAAAGTAATTATTTTTTTATCGGCACTTAATTGTTTCATTGTTATCAATCTAATTTATCATTTTTTTATAAACATACTTATAGCTGTTAGATCTAACAGCATGGCTGTATGTGCATTTGATTATCTCTAACTTCATCATGCTCTTTTTTATTATTGCATTAACTTACGTGTTTTATAAGTATTATTGTGTCGATATTAATAAAATTAGACATATTGTTTACAAAAAAAAAAACATGTTGTATTTCATTATGATTATTATGATTATGTATTGTTCCTAGTAATTATTAGATATCAATTGGTCGAAAAAAAACCTTAACTTATGAAAAAACTGCTTGGAACAAAATAATAGAATTTTAAGTTTTTTGATATGTGTATTTATAAAATAGGTAACGATTTAACTACTTATTATACTACTAACGAACATAATTACATGAATTTTAAAAAACTGAAGTCCGTTAATAATTTCCGAACGTACTTAAAATTTTCTAAACAATATGAACTGATCTCAGACACACCTTAAGACAGATATTTGACAAATAAAGATGACGTAACATTGAACCATCGCTGAACAGACAATATTATCTAGTATCTCCAAAAAAAATCCTTTATGGGTATTTCGCCACTGCACTGCAAGAAAATCTACAAAATAAAATAGTTATTTTTTGTAAACACTTCTGCGTTAAACCTAAACGGACACTACTTGTCAGAAGTTATGTTTACAGTTATACAAATTTGCCTAACAAAGAAAAAAAATGCTTAACGTTTCAGAAAGTTTATCTCTTTCCGTCGTCGGAAGCAAAAAAATGTAAAGAATAAAGAAAAAATCTATATAAAGTATTTAAATTCAACTATTCGAGAACACTTTACTTTTTTAAAACAGATACGTCTACAAGAAACCGTTGACGTTCTGTTATAATGTCATTTTAACATGATTTTCTTGCAGTGGCGAAATACCCATGTAGGATTTTTTAGAGAGATGAATCCGCCACATAGGTATAGACATTATCTAGTATATACAACACAGGACACAGATAACAACAATTCAATTTAATAAATTACATTCTCTCCAGTAATTAGATAGTCCGGCATCTAGAGGAGAGAAAAAGTTAGGAACCAAATAAAGTCCTCCTTCGCTGTAAGTAGATATAAATCAGGATTCGTCCCAATGCTGCATCGACCAACATAAAGTTTTATCCTGTCCATCGCCCACTCGGTTAATTACGAGTGACAGTCGTTATGTCGCGAGCTCGCTGTTACGACTGCGAGATGTCCTCTTCTATCCAAACCACTAATATTAAAACTAATAGATAGAGACATACAGGCATCATAGTAAAATTCGCGTTCAAAAATATGTGTGATCGAATTTTATTTATAAACATTCAAAAAATTAATTCTCTGGTTGCTCCTTGAAATAGTTTAAATTCTAAAGCAGAGATTCCCAAACATTTTTTTCTCGTAGACTACTTTCAAAACTTTATTGATCATATTCCCAAAACACGTCAAAAAATGTGCATATATTAAAACACTCCACTAACTGGACGAGGGCCCGAATTCTGGAACTTTTACATAAAAACATTACGGTTTCAAAGCGGTAAGCGAAAGTATTCGATTAGCGGAACGCCAAGCAGTCGATTTTGGATTCTCGTTGCCGTGCGAATCGTTTTCTGGGTACGGGTTGACAGGGCCGTATCTAGACCAAAATTTCGGGGGGGGTTTGGCTTGGGGGAGGGGGTACAAAAGCTGCTAGGAAAAAAGCATAATAAAAAAGCTTTGGGCTACACTCAAATCTTAATTGAAAATAAAATTTTAAAAAAGTAACAGGTAAAAATTATTAATCTTAGGGAATAACCTGGTCTTAAGGATAAACTGGTCTTTTCCCTGGAAAAACGATTGACTACCTCTTCGATATCGATATTTATTTCTCATGTCCGCTTAATAGAGCAAGTCCTGTCAATCGCTCTTGACCTGTAGAGTTACGTAGGAAGTCCTTCAATCGTCTTATGCCGCAACCGCACATGCGGCATTTAGCGAACTCCTAGCGCTCGTCAACTACCGAACGCTCGTGATCGGACTTCGCCTTTCCATCCACACATGCGGGCTCTGATAGCAACAACATAGAAATAAGCGCTCGTTCTCGTAGCCGATCGAGTCGCCGAACTCCGACTTCCTCATCCATACACATAGGAAATCGGCGAAGCCCCGATTGGAGATCGCCGAATACCGAATGCCGCTTGAAAAAGACCTTTCTGGTGTAGCTGTTGACGCTGGTAGAGTTGCTAGGATCATTAATAAAATGTATATATTTGGAAATATACACTGGTTACAGTCCGATTATCGTTTCGATGACGTTTTTAGGTCGGTCGACTGCAGGTAGCTGCTTCCATTTTTGCCGTCACAAGTCTAGTTGTGCCGCTAAAGTGTCATAGCCCAAGAATTCTTTGTCTAATAGCAGAACAATAACAAACGTTAATCACGTTAATGACCAGCAAAACTCACAACATTCAAAATCTTGTCCTTGTCTTTTGCTGTTTTAAACACTTGAATGTTGAAAGTCGAAAATCGAAAATAACATTTGCTTTCAAAGTGGAAAACTGAGGTTAAGGTGTATAATGTATATTCATCAATGACTAAAAAATACAAGGACAAATAGCACCCGAGACCAAACTGTGACCATTCTTCCAAACAGTGCCGTGGCACATATTTTACTTAACATTGCCGCTTGAAGGGATATTTATATTTTTGATATTATATGTTTTCACTACGCCTATGGTGTATCGGGTGGTATCATACTAATTAATTACGAAAAACGTATTAAAATGTTAACAAAAGGTACATAACTAGTATCGACGTATAGTACATATCAAGTACATATAATATCAGAAAAATAATTATCGAATTCAATAAAAAACGCTAAAAAGGTGTAGGGGACTGTTTATTTCCCTATAAAACGTAACTTCTGGCTCTTTCTTATCATTGCGCCTTTTACACTTGAAAGCTGAACAAATTACCAT